CCACCACCCACTCGCCCCATCCCGCCCGCCGAAAACCCGACGGGTACGCCGACGCCCCCGCGGCGGGTGATTACGCGGGCGCGGTAACAACAATAACGGCGATCTTAACCGGCGCCGGAATCGGACGTTTTCTCCGCTCGGACCGGAACGCTCACGGAACACCGGCCGCACGCCGCGTCGACGTCGGGCGGACGTGAAATGTTCGGCGGAGTCGCGCGCCGGACCCGGTCGAAAAACGCGCGCGAAATTAATCGGACCGACCGACCGACCGACCGACCGACCGACCGACCGACCGATACGTGCGCCACGGTCGCCGGGCGGAAAACACCGCGCGGCGCCCCGTATACGTGTTTACGCGAATAAAGTAATTCTAAGGTATCCCGGACGGCGTTCCGGATAATATAATAACGGCGCCCTCCGCGCTACGCCGACGTGTACGCGCGCGAGTGTAAAATAATAATAAAGCACGAAACCGAGAAGAATATTAAATTTTAGAATACACGCGGCTCGTCCATTATAATAACACACCCGTTCGTTTAATATTATAGGGTTCTTTTTTTTTTAGCACGTCATATAAAATTGACGGTTTTATTTTTCAATGGTATTATATTATTTATGATATAACAATACGTGATAATTGTAATTTATACGGGGGGTTTTTTTTTCTCGTCCCGCATACGCGGTCGAAAACGTATTTATGCATGCGTGTATCATATAGGTGTAGCTAGCTACTGCACGCGCGCGCGCACGGTTTTTTTTTTTTTTTATAGTTTTCCGATTTTCTCGATGCGTGTTGTTATTGAAAAACTATATCCTATAAAACACTGGCGTTTTCAAAAACGAAATAAGTACGGGCCGCGCCGCGGGTACGCCGCCGTTCTGTCGAAAAAGTCGGGACGTCGGGCGGTTCGGTTTACGAAACCGTCGAAATCGAAAAACGATTCTAAACGGAACTCGCGGTAAACCGGCAAGATCACGTTCGCGTTTTTCCCGCTTGTAACACGGCAAAACGAAACCACTACGTGAGTGCCTCTAGTAAAAATAAAACGCGAAAGAACAATCGAAACATAAAAAAAGCTCGGCTAGGATGATGGGGACAAGTGGACTCCACTGGAGTAGGTAATTAAATGTATACCGGTGAGAAACGATAAAAAGCATTGCTAACGAAAAAACGATTCTGAGCGCAGTTCGGTTGACAGTGATACTTTGTCAACAATATATATATTTAACGGTAAAATAATTAAAAAGGCATCATATATTTTCTTTAATATTGTACAGATTTTCCCGGTTTTCCAAATTTGCCGGGAAAACCGCTAGGAAAATCAAAAAATTGACCTCCCTCAAGTACCAAGTAGACAAATTAATTTTCAGAAAATAAGCTACACTTGAAACACCCGAGCGAGATTTCCGGTAGAATTTTCGTACACGGGATAAAAAAAAAAAAAATTAAACATCGTATTAAACCGACATACAAAAATAATCATCTTAGTCAAACCAATACATTCTTAGCTACACTCAGACACTAAGTCATTTAATTTATATAGAAAATCCAATAGGTTTATGTCGAATTTCACTGTATTTTGTGTTGTAAAAAAAAATTAACCGCCGTGTATTCTCACATACGTTTTCTTCTGAAAAACTCTGACGGTCCGTACCCATTGTATGTTTATACACAGACGATTTAGACACAGTGATCTTTCGTAAACGTAAACCGAACGCGCCGTGCTGCAAATACTCGCTAAAGCAGTTGGCGGTTTAAAAACGTTTGTTTAATTCATATCGACAGTGCGTCGTCTTCGCGAGCAGCACCTCATCGGTTCGCGCGGATAATGCGCGCGTGCGTAAGACCGTCGGATCAATTGGAAATCCGGTGGACGCGAAAGACCGGAACGGCGTTTGGATGTGAAAAAGGCGAACAGAAAAATGTCCATCCGTTATTATCACGGGCGTCGAATGAGTCGCGTTTTTACCGCAAACGTTATTTTTCTGTCGTTTGAAAACAACGAAAACCAAAAAAAAAAAGCTTTCGCCCCCCCCCCCGATTCCGAGGTCTGGCATAACAACGGAGATATCGTTATAATTTTTGTTTTTTTGTTTTTTTCTTCTCACGAAACGTCTGCGCCGAGCCGCGGTAAAACAACAACAATCGTATTGCGGGCGGCGCACACCGGGAGTGCGGGGAACTGAACGTTACCCTCCGGCCGCGCTCGCGTTGTTCAGAAGACGCGCCGCGTCTCCGGGACCCGCCGAACGGCGGCCGGGAGGGATGTGCGGTCCCCCTACGCCGCCCCTACGCCGGGGAACGCCGCCGGACAGATTTCGCGGATTCATAATATTTATTTATAATTATCGGGAAAACAATTCGCGTTTCTCTAATGTTATTATCACTGCCGTCGCTGTTTATTGCCCGCGTTATTTACCGATAACGGCGCGGCGATAATCTTGAGGGGTTCTCGTAAACGCCGTACACGCACACGCGTAACCCGGCGCTCTGTTCGCGTTGGAAAGAAAAAAAAAAATTTAAAAACAAAAAAAAAAAAATCGCGTACCGTACTGTTATCGTGTATATATTGCGGAAATGGGACGCGGGTTCACCGCGCGTCCGTTTCGGCGGAGAATAAAATTGTTTTAATACTAATTTTTTTTTTTTTGTTTTTTTTCCAGGTAAGCGAAAAATAATAATTAAAAAAGTAGCCGGGTGGTGCGGCCGCCGTTGTAGGCGGGAAGTCGGGACGGTACGATCCGTACGGTTATTCGATTTACGGGCGGTTCGCGTTCGGGTGAGTATTTTTTTTTTTTTTTTTTTTTTTAAATTTCCCGAACAAACATTTTCAACCGAAATGATACGATCCACGTTATTATCGGTGCGCGGACCCGTAAAAACTAATGACTACGAACTGTCTGTAATAAGTACTAAACACTAATAGGTAATGACTGAAAAAAAAAAAAAACCACTATATCGAGAGTTTCCGACGTTTCCGACGTTGTTCGAGCGAACCCGCTGTCTGAACATCTACAACCGTGTTAAGGTTAATTCGATATTATATTGATATTACTTACGAGCAGCTCGCAATGTTGGGTTGTCTTATTATCTGATCGGCGGTCCGAAATAACCAATGATCGCGAAAATTAATTCTATGGCATTTTCAGTGCGAATTTTCTACAATTGTTTTCGTTTATGTTTTACCTTTTGCAATCATCATACGCTAACTCAAACAAGTTATAATGAGATACTCGCCCGAACACGCCGTTATACGGGAAACAATGCAATCCGCCCGACCGAATGGCGCCCTTAACCGATGACTTGTGCGCGACGACAAACCGCCGCTGACGAAAAACGATTCGCAGCGATAATTTGGTAAGCAACAATTTTAAAACGCCGTCATTTTGTACGCGTTCGATCGTAAAACACGCTTGTGAAAATAATACTAATGCATTCGACTGAAAATCGTTTTTTATACCGCTAAGTACAACTATTGTAATGTACAATGTGTTAAGTTTTCAAGTATTTATCTAAAGTCACGTAGTTTTTAAAATCAAATACATATGACATACAGATATACATATGAAAAGACGTTCCAGGATGTTAGAGACGGATGCAGACGATAAGCCATTGTTTACGAAAAAACCATTCTGAGCCGAGTTCGGTGATGTTTTGTCAACAATAAATATGTCATTTTATAGTAGAAAAATTGAATAGGCTTAAAATATTTGAATTTGTTTGATGTTGTACCGATTTTCCCAGTTTTCGTATGTTTTTTCCCGGTTTATCATATTTGCTGGGAAAACTCTTGGGAAAATTAAAAAACGATTTCTCTAAAGTACCTCTCAAGTGAAATTTCCTTTTAGAAACATTGCTATTACTAAAAGTAAGTTCGGTAAACACGTTAATTAGTACGACAAGTTAGTTCAGTAGTAGAAAACAGAAGTAGTGTTTCGTCCGTTTGTGCATACAGCGTGATAAATTCACCGTAAGACATCCCTAGGTGTATTGATAAATTCCTTTATTTTTTTCTCGCGTCGTTTCCGCGGTGGAGTTTAACTAAAACGGCATTATTTTACTGAATTTATAATGCAGGTCGTTATTTGAAAATCAAAAACGGATAATGGTGTAAGAAAATAACGCTTTTGTAACATCTTAGAGCTACTGGTTTCATAAGGGATTCAAAATTAAATACTTGAACTCGGAAACGTAACTAACAAAGAGCACGGATAACGAAATAATCACGCACATTTTTCGGAGGGTTTTTACTAACCTAAAAAGTGTTTTCCGAAAAAGCGCGTCATAACAAAACCATATAATATAGGGCTGCGAGGTGCATTAAACAAGTCCCTGCGTTTAAAAGGTTTTTCGCGTTCTGAAATGGAATAATTAAAAGAACGAATATGTCGCGAGGAATGAAGATACTTCTATAATTATTCTGTTCGTTCTGAAAATACAAACGGAAATAAACAGTTTCTGTTACTTTTGGATAAATAATTAGCATTTTTTCCCCAAATGTTTTTTTCGTTCTCAGTTAATTATAATGTAATTCTATTACCATGTTATTATTATTATTTTTTTTTTTTTAAATAACGGTGATAATAAATAATAATAATAACGTACGCATTTTTTATACAATATAAAAACGGTTTTTTTTTCTTCCGCGACCCTATGTAAATTCCTAGCTTTGCTAAAAAACAAACAAACTAACCACGACACAAACGTTCACACTGTGACGACCGAGTCAGAGAAGACGTTAGATTATCGAGAGTGTTGAACGGCAGAGGGAGATTTTGGATGCGGCAACGGGTGGTCCTGAACGGCCTGGATTAAGCGAAAAATACAAAAAAAAAAGGAAAAAACGAAAAAAAAAACGTTCACACCGCACGCGCGAAATTATGGCGCCGGGCCGTAATACTATTGTACTGCGCCCGCCCCCGTTCGCCGAACGGATACCGAAACCCGGGCGACGGGATCATCCGGCGCGCGTAATAATTCACGTTCAAAACGAAAATTCGCGATTTAATATTCCGCTCGTGTTAATATTGTATTTTAATTTTACCGCCGCCGTACGTAAACAAATTATAAACCTATTTAATAAACTATACACCGTTACTCTCCGCGCATTTTTAATGAATCTAAACGCGGGACGCGCAAACGGGAACTCGCGGGACTGTGCGCGCCGAAATTATAATAATTATAACAATATCGACACGGCGAACGTCCCGCGAGTTTCTTATCGGGCGTTATTCGCCGAAAATTCGACAAAATCCAACCGCTCGCGCCGCCGCCGTCCGCGAGCGACCCGAGAATAACGAAACGTTGCGGGGCGGGCGGACCGCGTCGACGTCCGGTACACCGGCGCGAGCGGCGAGCGGTACGAAATAAGCCGAACGAGAGGCGACGTTTTTTTCGAAGGATTGTTGCCGAGAAACGTTCGGAAATCTCCGGTATCGAGTAGTCGCGAAAGTCTTGAAACGCGACCGAAAAACCGGTGGGCGGGGGGGTCGGTGTTGATGGTGGTGAAGGCCGACCGGAGAACTAACGCGCGGTGAATCGTCGTGACCCGAGGATGTGAAATACGGGTTACGAATGGAGGAGAGAACGTCGGAAGCTATACGTCGAAACGCGCTGCACGTGCCGGCGGACGTGAACCTTAAAAAGATGATATTGTCGGGTCGAGACACTCGTATTTTTAATTAACTACGGATTAAAATACGTCGATCGGAAACGATTGGGCCACACGCAACATTAGATACCCGGTAGAACGGAGTAAAGTCGCTGCAGGGTTTGTTGTCGAGGGGAAGTGGTTTTCGATATTGTCACTCGTATTGTACATAGATAACCGGCCGAAGCGGAGAATATCGGAACGCCCGCAAATACCGATTACTTGTGCGGGTTGAATACGCCGAGAGTAATACGATTAAACGCGTATGCGTATTAACATTGAAAATAGTAAAAATACAATTTTTTGAAAACTAAAAAATTAATTTTGCCTGGCTGATGTTGTTGTTGTTATTTGGTAGCGATGCATTTTTTCGAAAATCTACTTGTTAGGCATTATAAGGTCGCAGAATTAAAACGAAATTATTTATTATTATTCATTTCTTCTACCTATTATTATAATGCTTGGAACCGTATGATATTAATATTCAATATTCTAATATTATTTGTTTGATATGCCGATTTTTTCGTGTTTTTTTTTTTTCGATTTTCCACATTTGTTGAAAAAACTCCCGAGTAAATCCAAAAATGACCCATTTGAAGTACCTCCCCACACCGACCTATTTTCATAATAATCGCTATACATACAAATCGGATGAAGATCTCTGGTAGTAAAGTTGTCCAAAGAAAAAAAAAAAAACTGACGTCTTCGTAAAACCGTGGGCTTAATTCTTCGCTCACTCAGAGTCTAATACAATCGTTTATGTTGTAACACTAGCTTGTTCATAGTTTTATAAAAAAAAAAACAAAAAAAACATCCAATAATCGTGTAATAAAATAAACAATTTGAGTTGATCGATAAATAATTACCGATACGCCAGCAATACGAAGTCCCGTCGCCTGGTGATCGGAACTACTACTAAATTAGTATTTGAAATTCCCTAATATTTTGAAATATTGACTAATGACTACTGGCCAATTAATATTATCGTACAGTTGTATGTTTCGTGTGAGACATAATGTACCGGACATTTTTTTTCCCGGAGATATTTTAAACCTTCTCGTGCATTCTCGCAACGGTTAACGGTTTTAGCGTTTTTTAATACGGCAGGCCGGACCGAATGACGGACGGTTTTCGGCCACTGTCGCCCCCGCGGTTTCCATTTCGCACTCATCCCCGGGCGCAATTATTATTTTCGCATCTCCGCGCCCGTTATTATTTGTTTCCGATTTCCGTCGTAATATCCGACCGCGGCGCGAACGAATGCACCAGGTATATTTGTAGTGTGCGCCCGAGTGTTTTGTACGGTCGCGTATAATTCGGCAAAGGGGAAAGTTTTTAACGCGAAGAGAGTGTAAATTATATAATTATAAAACGTAAAACCAAACGATAAAATCTAATAATCGTAATTAAATTATGCCGTTTAATTATCGTATAAAGTGCCCGTATAGTGTGTTGTATGTGTACGTGCGTACGTTTTAATTGAGTTTCGAGCAGGTATTTTAGCTTTATACGATATCGTACGACTTACGAGTTCCGTGCGCATTCAAACGCGAACACAAATAATACGCGAACGTCGACTACGAGTGTTTTGGATTCTGAGCGTATTGGTTTGTCTACGGCGCCGTGCGCTCATTGTTATTAATATTATGAGTTTTTTTTTTTTTTCATGAACGTTTCGAGACATTGCATACCCGTCTCGTGTCCGTCCGTAGTTACGGTTGTAGATTCGGTCGACGAGGAAACTTATGTTATTATTCGCGTACGATTATTGTTATTATACAAATTATAACTGTAATTATAAGTCATACGAATTCGAGAGCTAGCCAGTGTTAAAAATATAAAGTAATTATACAAGCGGTGTTTGAAGAATTTTGAAAATTGCCCTTAAAAAAAAAAAAAAAAAAATGTTTAAGATGTTCAAGTAAACCGCGTTCAGTCGTTTAAAAAGAGTTTAGAAACCGAAAATTTTAGCTCGCTCAAAAAGTGGACACTTACCTAACTTTCCTATCAGAAATCCAAGTACAGTTGAGAAATCACAAGTGAACTATATTTTAATTTCACGTCTAAAAATCGGTCGAATAACTGAAACAAAAAACGTAAAGGAAACAACCGCATAAATAATCACGAAGTTTATGATTTCATTCTTTTAAATTGTTTTGATTTTTATTTTTTACCAGAAATCTCGCTCCGAATATTAAGACTAGTGTCTTTTCCGAGAGAAGATTTTGTCTAGTTGATAAGATTTTCTTAATGACTGAAAAAAAAAAAACCAAAACAATTACGAAAATAAAGATTTCTTTTATTAAGGATTTTATTTTTTTATTGCGATCCAGTTAAAAATAATTTCAGACATCTGACGTTTACACAAAAAACTCGTATATAGACGTTTATAGACGCAGCAAAATAATTTTCAAGCCTATCTGGCGGTTTATGAGCTACTTAAAAAGCTTAAAAGCATTTGACGTTTTCGAATATTTTTATAGTTATTTGGTTTTATCTGGATAAACTATTAAAATTATCTGGCTACACAGAAAATCTTGACAATTTTATAAGAGGTTAATTATAAGTTATAATTATTGGAAAAAAAAAAAAAAAAAAAAAAAAAAGGTTTTGAAGATCGTACAAATTACGGCATTTTAAAACACGTTCAACCGAATTTCGCACTAGAATTAAGTATTTCGTCAGCAATAATTTATCGTCGCCTATAGATGTAAATCAAATAACCTAATGTTCCTTGCCTTTCCGATTTACATTTGTACAAACGAGTAATGAAAAAAAAAACGTATTATTTGAAGTGAAATTTTATATTAATATTATTATCTGTAATGTGCGTATAGTTATTCATGCGGAAACAAATCTCGACACGTATTTTTTTTTCTTGTCGGCGCCTATCTAATAAATCTAAACCGAAATATTTATACCTAATTGAATGAAAATGCTCATCCGCTTATTTGATTAAAAAAAAAAAAAAAGGAAAGAAAAGAAAAGAAAAAGTTTTACAATCGAGACCGACGACGTACAGCGAAGCAGACTATAGGAATCGAAATAGAAGCTTTTTAAGTTGTGATGCCATTGTAGACGTACGATAAGCTGGATGCGTACAGGGTATTTGCAAATGAACAAGAAGCATTACCGCAAGTCGAGATACGAACAAATAGAACAATCGCGTAGACATTACAAAAAAAAAACTATACAATCGCAACGGTTATAGCTCTCGGCCACTCGGGCGTGATTGGGCCTTCGCGGTTGAGAAAACCGACAGACAGTTTCGAAAACTTTACCCGGTTTCGAACAAACGAAAGGACCCGCCGCCGTTAAAGGACTCACCGCGACGCCGCCGTTTATTTCGGCCGTAAAACACAAACGAAACGCGTTTGCGTATCGTTTCGCACCGGGACCAAAACGGAATTCGGCATTCGCCGTCGTAAACGACAATGTCGATGACTGATAAAAGAGCAGCACGTCCGACTCGAGACGACGTGCGTCTTGCGGACCGACGAAATCGCATATTGCTTTAACGGTAACGTTTTTTGTCGACGTACAGCGATACCGAATCTGCAGGGGCCCGGGCCCGACGTAATCACGCGTAGGCGCAGACGAAAAAAAAGAAAAGTGAACAAGACCGAAATCCCGAACGAACGCAATCGATACCCGGATGTTACAAAACCTCGGATGTGGACGATATTCGTTCGTAATGCCGTGAAAAAAAAAAAAAAAACAACCCGACACCGTAATCGTATTGGTAAACACGTAATAATAATAAAAAAAAAAAAAAAAAAAAAAAAAAAAAAAAATACAAAATACAAAATTGTCGTACGCCGCGATTAAAGGGAAATCGGGATCTCTTTATTTTATCGGGCGCGCGTCATCTTTACGCCGGAAACGCCGGATCGCTGTGTGTGTGTGTGTGCGTGCGTGCGTGTGCGTGTGCGTATAGCTAATTGTGTTTTGAACGCAACGAGACGTTAGACGTTTCATACGGAACGCGGTTGACACTCGACGCGAATTACACCGAGATAAAGTGCATGATTTCGTAATTTCACAGCCGTCGGGGTTTTTCGACGCGAACGGCGTGTACACAGAAAGCGACGGTTTTATCCAAGCGCCGTCCTCGTAAAGCAATTATAATATTTAATAATATTGTTTGCGGAAACGGAACGCGGCGCGACGCAGGACGGCCGGAAAACGCGGTC